GTGAAACACTTCATTACATAGTAGGTGGTGGGTGTGTAGCGCAAGCTACCCAGTCATATTGTTAAAGCAGATACCACAGCTTCTTTCACAAAAAAACTGGACATGGTCCTTGGATCAATTGGCTACTCACAAGAAACCCACAAGCAAATGCACCAGATTGGCCAAATTACCTACTCTTGTTTGTAGCCTTTCTTGCAAGGGCAAGTGAGGTTTCTCAGGTGATGCTACAAAATCCACTTCAACAATATGGCTGAGCTCTTGGTTCAGTTTTGTGCAATCTCTTTCAAATTAAGAACATACAGTCTCTTTTGTTTTCACACAGTCCTTTTTAAGATAACACAACATGTTCATTTCAACCTTCTTTAAGGTTTTTAGATGCTTTTCTCCTTTGCAGCTGTCAGGCTGGGTTTTCCTTTTGGTTAACAATGTTCAGCAAGAATTTGAACAAACCCTGCTTTATAAACAATTTAAAAATAATTTGGACCATATGCTGATTTGGTGAAGTTCTTATTAAGAGCTTTGTTCCTTTCAGCATCATCAGCTACAAAAATACAATCTAAGACAGTGGTTTTAGAAACCCAGACACCTCCCTCTGTTCTGAAAGATATTGGCTTTCTTTGAGTAAATGCTGTAATGTAACCCCGTGCTTCCTGAAGATGTTAATCTAAGATGGCCTCCAGACCATCTGTCTAAATTAGTTCCAGGGTCTGATTAGTTTAAACAAACAGACGCACCTGCCCGAATGAATGCTATGTGCACTCCATAATTTCATGCCATTGAGCTTCCCTTAAGAAACATGGTTTCAAGAAGCTCACATCGAGAAGGCATTATTATTTTTCAATAATCATTCATTAAAAGTGCTTTAACTTAATGACCATTGAGGGCCTTTTTAAGCATTGTTAAGCATTGTGGGCTGTAAAAACATCTATAAAAGAGCTAGTCTGAAGCTCACTGTTCTTTGCCTGTGCTCAAATTGTAGCTAAATCAAGGTTTGCCAAATTACAGCAGAGGTCTAGTTCAGCTGGATGTGGAGAGAACTGCCCATAGGCAAGTTTATCCTCATTTCCTCTGGAGCCTTCTAATTCTGCAATGAAAGGGATCTCCAGTCCCAGTCCTGCAGGGCAGAGCTGCGTCTGCAGGTTTTCTTGGTCTCTTTAAACATGTCAAGAGCTGGTTGAAAACAATTGATGAGCTGATTTGGGCTGTTCCAAGCCCAGCTGGACTGAAAACCCACAGACATACCGGCCCTCCTGCAGCAGGATTGTTGAACCTGGCGCTGCGGTTTCAGCATGATCATACAGTAGCTTGCATGTGAACACCCCTCTGCAGCACTAGTCTGTTTACTGTAGTTTGGGTGGATAGCTGCATCAGCATGCGTAGGCCGCAAAGGAGCAAGTCATAGGTTTATTCCATGCTGAAAAGAGAAGAAAGAAAACACAATGTTTCGGCCGTGGAACCTTCTTCAGGCGTGAGAAAGACAGGGCAGGAAGCAAAGGAAATGTAGCGGGAGAACAAAAACTGGGAGAGAGAAAGAGCAGGAGGCAGGACCAGGGGACAGAAAGAGAGGCCAATCAGGAGGTTCAAAGTCAGGATAGGTGTAGAGAGCTGTGAAATGAAACTGACAATTAATAGAGAGAATTTAGAAGAAAATTAGTTGAGAGAAGGGAAAAGTCTTCCCTAGCTGCAGGATAATTGTAGTTTCTGTAGTCTTTCTGATGTAGGAGTTAGGAAACTTCTGTGCTTTACTGTGCTCTTCCAGTTACTTCAGTGCACTTCATTGTACTTTTACTGTGGTTTAACGCAATGGAAATGCTGTGAACAGTGGCACAGAGCTTCGAAAAGACTATGTTTATGTTAACATTTCAAAAAAACTTCACCACATCTGATGGGGAACATTAGGGTGACCTATATGTCCCTTAGGTAGTCACAATGCTGAGAGCCAGACTGAAACCACCAACCAGGGAGCATGTAACACCAACGACGTTGGTCCAATTCTCATGCACTTCTTCCCCTGTATTTCTTTTTCTTGGCGGTGTCACGAGGTGTCGTCATATAGCAGATATCATATTGCACCTTGGCCACAAGCCACAGCTCTAACATTGCTATTTAAGAAATGGCGTTTGAATGATGTATGAACTGGACAAGACAAGTGCATTGAAGTGCACTCTAAGGGGCCTGCTACTCTGTGACAGAACAGCCCGAATAATGACCACATTGAAGAGAGCCCCGCTGAATCTGTACATCTAAAAACGAGACAGTCGTGAAGCATGGTCACTTGGGACAGGTCAGCGTGGGTTCTGTACTGGGGGGACAGCTTGTATTGCAGTCATGACCCCACCCCCCCATGCAGGACGCATGCCAGGGAAGAGCAGCAGGAATAGCTACACTTGAACACACCCACCTGACTTTGCACACAGCACAGCCCGTGGGTGGGCAGAGCTCGAGTTGCTCACGACTGCTCCTGCAGGCCCCGGACAGATGGTGGAAGGGTTAAAACACTCGACACAAGTACATCCCGTTCTGGGAGACAGATTCCCAGGAGCATGAGACGATCCCAAATGGGGGGGCCTCTCAACAATATCCTGTACCGGAAACCACGCAGTTGTCTTTTTGGGTGCACAGTGGGGCTGTAGTGGAACACATGCAGTGGTGGATTCAATTCAACAATGCATTCAATTGAATTTCACAGTCTGGGTGTTTTTAATGAAATCTTCTGCTCTGCTGTTCACACTGTCTTCTACTGTAAGTCCACAGAGCAGGGAATAGATAAGCAGGTATTAATTAAATTTGTGACTTGAATGTGGATGATCTGTGTAACAGGATGGTTATTTATTTTGTGGCAACGCAGAGTAAAGTATGTAATACCCCCAAAAAAATGATGGAAGAAATGTTAGGGTATGGCCATTTAGTTTACAGGGCTCTGTGTGTGTCACTTGTCAAACAGCTTTTAAACCTGGAAACTTCATTCTCAGTCATTGTCCTACTTACTGTCTGCAATTAGCAATGCTCCTTGAAAACATCCTCTGCTTAGTCTGTAAAGTAGGGTTGAAATCACACAATAAAACCTTAATTTGGATCAATTTAATCTTTTTTTCTGGGTTAATGGAACAGGCTACTCAGACATGTCTAAGCGGATGAAGCCTGGCTTAAAAACAGATTCTCTGAACCGATAAACTACTAACAACTGAGCTAGACAGGCCCAATGACCTCCTCTCGTTTGAAGCCTTTCTTACAAACTGATGCTCTCGTGTTTCCTTTCTCAGGTCTCGCGCTGCTCATGTTCTGAAGGCGCCAAAGGATAATGTCCTGGCTGTGCCCCTTGTGAAGCAGGGACCTCAGAGACAAGAGGTGTGACCCCATAACACAGGCAGGAATCTTGTGTGGGCGTGGTGTTGCACAATAAACACAGCTGGAGGCGATCCGAATTAAGCAGAACAATTCATGGCACAACTGCAGTGGCATGTCGCATGACAAATGCAGGGCCTGGGGCAGATGCTCAAAGAGAAAAGGGTATTTTTGACAGTGGCTTAGAGGCACTCCTGAGAAAATAGACCACTCCTGTATTTTGTGGCGTCCTTCTCCATGTAATACAGCAGGGCCATGTGTGTGCATTTCCCTAATAAAACTGTTTTAGGGCCAGCGACATCCTTACTCATGCCAAAAGCTAATGACCTGAATTAAGTTGCAGCTGAGTTTAACTGGAATTAATCCTAGGAAACTATACTGTCTGTGAAATCTCACTTCCTTGTTATTGCCACCTTACGAATAGGAGAGATATTGGATGATGATTGCAAACAGCTTTGGCCAAAACTGTAGAGGTCACCTGACACCTTTTTACACAAGGTCCATATAGATTAAAAAAAAGTAAGTGGCAAAGGGTGCCTTAGAGATCCCCGCCCCGAACTCTAACCATGGCCAGCTTCCAAATTTTAAATACAGCACTGACACCATCTTCTCTGTTTCCAGGCACAGCTCATGCAAGGGCACTCTGGTCACAGGCAGCTGCCTTCTTCTGGGCTCCAAGGCTGTTTGTGCTAGAGCTCTAACTCTTCCTCTTTGGTGGGGGATACTGGGATACTACAGGTATGTGCATTCTGCATGACCTTTCACCTTTCTGAGGAGTTTCAGTCATGTTCGATGCCTGCTACTGAACCCAAAAAAGCTCATTTAAAGTTTTCTCCAGTCCTGCCAGATATAAAGGTACAACTCAGGAGAGTTAATCAGTGTCGCACCATGCTCTGAAACCCATCGGTGATAAACTGTACACTGAAATCTGTGTACCACTTGTGTATGTCCATTTCGATTTGGGGATTTTGTTTTCACTGGCAGTATTATGAGGCAGTAATGTTTCGTTAAAATTATAATACTTCCTTGTCAGCTATGCAAAGGCAAACAGTGTGCTTTGAAAAACTCTTTCCAAACGTTTTTGTTTGACAAAAAAGCAAAAACTTAATAAAACCGCGTTGCAGTTTGATGCACAATTAAACTTTGAAGAAGGGCCCTTACTCATTACTGCGTAAAAACAAATGGAAACTTTCAGGAGCCCACCGCGAGACTAGAAAAAACAGGCGTTTTCAAATTTGTAATTCCAAGGGGTCTTTCTTCTCTCGCCTTAGTGTGATCGCCAAACTTTTCTAAAGAAAAAATAAATTTAACAACTTTGGGGTTATTTTCCTGAGAGAATTCTGTTCAAAGCCGTAGGAAGGAAGGGTGGCTCGGTTCTCAATCTTTTTTTTTTCCGTCTTATTTACCTTCATGTAAATGAAACTGTTACAAGATCGCTGAAACACACACACACAGACTGGACTTGCATTAAATACTTGAAAATTAATCTTGCTGAGTCTGAAGACCCGCTGGTTTCCATGTTCACTACAGCTCCTCTCTCATAGTACCTGGCACACGCTGCTGTTTCCGAATCGATTCGCTTCGCCGCCCCCTCGAGTCGCCGCCTACAGGTTAAAAATAATATAAATCTGGTTGCCAGTGAAAAGGCATTAACATCGAGATGGGGACATACAATACACAGATGGGTCTAGCTTTACATGACTTAACGCGTGAAGGATTATATATTTGTATTTTCTTTCAAGAATAAAAGGATATTTCACTTCTGCGTCACGCATTAACGGATTTAAAATGAACGGCATTTATTCCCGAATCAGTCATTTTGGAGACGCGCTGCAGCAAGAATTGAAAACTGTTTTTTCCCTGAAACGGCTTGATTTTGAAGTGTACAAGACTGTGGTTTGGACTTCGTGAAGAACTGAAAAGCAAGAGAGCGCCTTATCGGAACAGGAGTTTAAACAGGGAAAGCTGAAAATTATTTAAAAAGCTAAATCGTTTTCAAATCATGTCATCTTCCGTCGCCAAAGAATCTTTATTTGAAACGGTAAACTCTTGGAAAATGTACTTCCCTTTCCCTTTGAGAGCATTTTTATTAACTATCCCTGAAACCTTTTGATGTAGGCATTAATTTCAAAACTTTGTCGTGAACAGCCTGATGTCATTTGCTTAAGAAGGGGCTTTTGAAAGGGTTTTTGGTATGAATTATAGTGAAAGGACGCAAATTCACCTGTGCTTTGACAAGCTTAATTTTGTCATCATCAGTGCTGTCAAGTAGGTTTCATGACTTGTCAGTGTGCCTTTGGACAGTTGATCTGTACAGTATGTCTTTATAAGTTATTAAGGGTGTCTGCACCTGCACGCGAAATTAAAAGGGAAAGAATGTTATTAAAATGTTTATAGCAACACTACAGCAGTAAAAAGGCTAATATCATTAATATATCTTATATAATGAAACTAAATAAGATTATTGTGGACATAACTGATTTTGAAACAATTATTGCTATCACAGAGGAGCAACAATGAGCGCTCTGAGAAATGACCACTTAACTATTTATAAAAACAAGGTAGATAAAGCGAATTTTCTCTTTAGCTTTACCGATCATTTAAATCAATATCTTTAAATGTAATTAAAACATTTTTTCACAACTAAATAGCATTTTTAGTTCTTCAGAATTTCTTATATCAATAATTACTTTTTTGTTTGCAAAATAGCTCATTTCTGAGAAGCGGTTTCTTGACTGATGACTCGATCATTATTACAGTGTCTAAGACCGGAATGAATGAGGAGAAGTTTGCATGCAAAGCGTCTGCTTTGCATGCAATACCATGCAATAGCTTTTGCCAGTTTGACTCCCAACGAGCCCTCGTACCACAACTGTTATAGTGCGGAGAAAAATAATTGTACATAACCTACAGGTCTGTTACCGTCGACGAATTATGTGTCTGTGCAACGTTGATTTTAATTGCCTGAAGTTTAGCATTAAACCTGTACATATTTTTAATTGTGTCAAACTGCGCTGTAAAATATCTAAAACCCTTTTCTACCTGATTTTTCTTTTTTAATTTCTAACCGGTCGTTTGTTTTCTTCCAGTTAGTCATATTTTCTCTGCTATTAATCCACTGAGCAAACCTTTAATTTAGTGTATTTATTAGACTGACTACGTCTGGTTCTATTCTTTTATATTATTGAACAAATTGGGTGAAGCCTTAGTATTTAAAAACAAGATGTTTTCGTCACTTACATTTAAAACAGCATCATATTTGATAATGACTAATTCCGCTCAGTGATTTTTTTTTATACAAGCTTGAAATGCGGATTTGCAATGTATTAGGGCGACTGGAATCATATACTGTATACTGGATCTCCCAGGTCTTTTGAATTTTTATTCGTGCTAGATACAAAAACTGTGGCAAGTCGGAGATAGCACAGCATTGATCAGATTAAGAAAGAACGATTCATTCTCCAAAAGATAACCATCACTTCTTAAAATAGCGCCCTGTCTGAGCAGGCGCGTTCGTGATAGTCTCTGGCATCTGAACTGTCCTAACTTGCCTTGCTCTCAGGCATTAAAGACAAATGGAACTTGAGTGTCTACATGGCTTGGAACAATCCTGGGCACTAGAAATTGTAGAGAAATGCATTTAAAGGAATGCTTTCTATAGTCCGCACAGTACTCGAGACACTCGAGAAAAAGTTTCTATTACATATGCATCGTTTAATTATTTTTGTTTTTTATAAAACGAAAGGCACACGATAAGAACGTACTGTATGTTTTCACCGACACGTGGGTAAGATCGCGTTTTTTGTATTCTAAAATTCATTTTTCCTAGGCTGTCATGATTTATTCTCGGTACTGTCTCGGTTCTTTCGATGGACCGATACCCTTGAAATTATTAATTTATAATACGGAAGTTCTGTACTTCCACAAAAAAAAGTATTGGAAAAGGAGCAAAAAGAAGAGCGACAGTCTTCTACACTTCAAAATAAAAGTTTGCTTAGGGGATTCTCTATTTGTAAATAACCCTGATATTCATTTTTCCACCGCAGCTACGCAGAATATTTGTTCAGAAACGCCGTTTTCACCGTATTAGCCTGGCTTTTCTGGGGTATATCTACAGTAACAATAATGTTTCTAGTGTTTCTGGCGAAGCTTTATCATTTTTCTGTTTTATCAATCACCATCTGTGAGCATAAACGAGAAACATATCTCTCCGTAGTAGGGGAACGCCATGTTTTGCTCTTTTGTGGGGAAAAAAATCATTTTGTAGTCTCTTAAGTAAAATTGAGTAATGCAGCAATAACAACAGGATTCCAGTCGCCCTAATACATTCCAAACCCGAGATTATTCGAATTCATATTCCCTGTAGGGGAAGGGAAGAGTCTGGTTTTCATTTCATTGCAGCTGTGAAGTTTTCAATCCAACCGTCTTCCGTTTCAGATGAGCTGATTGAAGACACCTATAAAAAAACAAAGTATTGCAGCTCTCCAGGTGGTTGGAGACACTAAGGCTCTACAGTATATTATACTGTATATCATATACTGTATATGCAGTCCTTGCTGTAGGCTATATCAAATGGTCCTTCTGATCCATTCCATTGCAGTGCACTAGTATAGAGGCTTGACTGCTGCATGCCAGCTGATTTTATCAGTTCTTTAGGTAAGGAGCTGGTTGTAGCCAAACTCTGCAATGTAGGGGAATGTACGTGACATACGCTAAGTAGCTACGATCTACAGACACACTTTCCCAACACAGTATAATTTCTTCTTTTTTTCTCCATCTGTCCTTCAGGCCCCCTTACACCAGTTCTGACCTGCAGAGCCCCATGATGTTAGCTGTGCATCAGTTTAACACGTCGGGGGCTGGCCAGGACGCCGCCAACTCCCGAAACCACACCTGGATGCTCGGGGACAACATGAGTGTGGTCGACGAGAGAGTCTTTGCTTATAAACCTACAGATCCGACGGCCGCCGGGCTGTCCATGACTCTGGGCATCCTGTCCAACATCATTGCCTTGTTCATCCTGGCCAAAGCCTACGCCCGCATGCGGCGGCGCTCCAAAGCCACCTTCCTCCTCTTCGCCAGCTCGCTGGTGGCCACCGACTTCGCCGGCCACATCATCCCGGGGGCTCTCGTGCTGCGGCTGTACCTAGTGCCAGATTCCTACGCCTCCTCCGACGCTCTGTGCCAGTTCCTGGGAGGGTGCATGGTGTTTTTTGGCTTGTGTCCGCTCTTCCTGGGCTGTGCCATGGCGGCCGAGCGCTGCCTGGGCGTCACCCGGCCCTTGCTCCACTCGGCCCTGGTGACGTCCACCCGGACAAAGCTGTCGCTGGCCGTCATCTGGCTCTTCGCCCTCTGCGTGGCCCTGCTGCCCTGCTTCCAGCTGGGTGCCTATGGCATGCAGTATCCCGGCACCTGGTGCTTCATCAAGGTGGACAGTGACACCACCGCCTCAGATGTCATCTTCGTGCTGCTCTTCTCTGGCCTCGGCCTGACCTCCCTGGGGGTGTCCATGGTCTGCAACACCACCAGCGGCCTCACCCTGGTCCTGGCGCGTCTCCGCAAGAGGACCTACAACCGCCGGGCCAAGTCCCATGACATTGAGATGGTGGTGCAGCTGGTGGGCATCATGGTCACTTCCTGCATCTGCTGGAGCCCCCTGCTGGTGAGTGGGAGGGCACGAGCGCCATTGCCAGCTGGGGTTCGGGCGAGCTCCTGCGTGATAAGGCTCAATCAGGCCATGGGGAGGGCGGTGGCTTCTCACAGGACGACAGAGGCTCACAAACACCCATTTTAGGGACAAACATGAAGTACTTCACACTCCCAACTGGCTTTCAGAGCTGGGGCGTGTCCCTGATCCTGTAGCATTAAGGAGGAACATAAGAAGTTGCAGACTTGTTGCAAACAAGGTTGCTGCTGGAAGAGGTGTTAGTGGGGCCAGCAGGGGGCGCTCACCCTGCTGTCCATGTGGTTCCTAATACTATACTGTAAAAAGGCACCATCCTTCTGATGAGACGTAAAAACCAAGGTCCTGACTCTCTGTAGTCATTAAAAATCCCAGGGTGTTTCTCAAAAAGAGTAAGGGTGTAACCCCGGGGTCCTGGCCAAAATTCCCATTGGCCCTTACCAATCATGGCCTCTTAATAATCCCCATCTGTGAATGGGCTTTATCACTCTGTTCTCCTCCCCATTGATAGCTGGTGTGTGGTGAGCGTACTGGCGCACTATGGCTGCTGACACATCACCCAGGTGGGGCTGCACATTGGTGGTGGTGGAGGGGAGTCCCCATTACTGTAAAGTGCTTTGAGTGGAGTATCCAGAAAAGCGCTATAGAAGTGTAATCAATTATTATTATTATTATTAAACGAACGTTAGCTATTCAGCCCATCTAACCAGTTTGGCAGTTAGTAGCTATTTGAGCTGAGAATCTCATCCAGTCATTACGTGAATTAAGCCAGGGTATCAGCTTCAACAACCTGGCTAGATAGTTCATTCCACACTCCCACTACCCTACGGGAAATGAAGTGCCTCCTGTATCTAGTTTTAAATGCACTTCCGTATAGATTCCACATAGGAAGTGGAAGCACTTAGTGGGAAGCGGATGGGACAGCCTATGGACGGGAGGTCAGTGGCACATAAATCCCCATTGCTGACTGGTAACTACACTCCCAGTTTCCCCAGAGATCCAGAGTTGGCACTGCTTCCAGCTACCCCAGAGATCTCTACTGAACAGTCACATAGTGTTCAGTGCTATGGGGGTTTCACAAGTGTCTTCTTGCTGATTGATTATGTAGAGAAGCAGTAGAAATAACATATTTTGCTCAGTTTTCTCCATGAGAAGTGTCTGCATTGAGAACTTGGAGCCAGAGACCTGAACACTTCTCCCAACTACCCCAGAGATCCTACTACACACATAATGTTTGATCAGTGCTGTGGGGGTTTCAAAGCTGTTTTCTTGCTGGTAAAGTCTGTATGGGAGCTGATGACCAAAAGGAAGCCAATATATACAATCAGTATCTTGAACTTGTGTAACAAAGGGATCTCCAGATGATAGGATGAGACGTAAAACCGAGGTCCTGACTCTCTGTGATCATTAAAAGTCCCAGGGCCTTTCTCGAAAAGAGTATGAGTGTAACCCCAGCGTCCTGGCCAGATTTCCCCCTGGCCTTTACCAATCATGGCCTCCTAATAATCCCTATCTATGAATTGGCTGCATCACTCTGTTCTCCTCCCCACTGATAGCTGGTTTATGGTGCGCGTACTGGCACACTATGGCTGCTGTCACATCATCCAGGTGGGGCTGCACACTGGTGTTGGTGGAGGGAAGTCCCAATTACCCATGAAGCGCTTTGAGTGGAATGTCCAGAAAAGCACTATATAAGTGTAAGCTATTATTATTATTATTATTATTATTATTATTATTATTATTAATTATAGGAAGACAGACAATCTTCGTACAGAGCAATCTGCCTGTGTACTGAGCAAAAGGGAGGCTGTGGCAGGAGAGGCTAAGTTCTGACCTTTCTGTATTTCTGGCATTTGTTTTCCAAGAGTCATTTTCTGGCATGTCATATTCTGGGTGGCAGAAATAGAAAAGAGGCTGTTGAGAGGTGTCTAATAGCTGATTAAGAGGCAGATCTTTACAGGAAACAAAACAATAATGAGCCACAGTGTCTGAACCATCCACTGGTGATGCATTAGCCACTTGGGGACTCAGATGAATTATGCATTAATACCTGCTATTTCCCACCAGTCATCTCTCAGAGGCTGTTTCTTGAACACTTAGGATTGCAAATAGCAATGAAAGCCGAAAAGGGAAGATAATCACTCCCGAGGCGTGCAATCAGACATTCAAAAGCTCAGGAAGGAAACGGCAGGAAATAGCAGACACAGGCTGTCCTGTCTGTGAATATGTAATGTATACGTTGCTGGGAAAATGTGCATTTCTCGGGATTTGTTCTGGTTCTGTCTGGGAGTCCTTTAGGAAAGTGTGATTTCATGCTCTTTCCACAGGAATCCACTCCCCTTTGTATGGTCACAATTTTCTGTGTTTACACAGTAGTAACAGTGTATTACTACAGTAACATATAGCTATACTGTAATGTCAGAGAGTAAACATATTCCTAGGAGCTGTGTGATCCTTCCCAAGATTTAGTTATAAAAACCTTACAATGACTGTAGTCTAGTAGACTAGACATTGAAAGCTTTTTGGAAATAGTGGGTTTAAATCCCAGATTGTTGCACTGTTGCTGTAGCCTTGAGCATTACTGGGATTTCTCCAGCAAATCCAGCTGTACAAATATTGTAATTACCAAACTTTGTATTGAAAATGAGGAAGCAGGAAAAAGGAATCACCCAGAAAATCTTTCCTAAACTCCTATAAAGCAAGAGTTTCACTAAAGTCACCATATCCATCACAATGCTTTACTGTAACTTGGCTGTGCAATCGAATCTTAATAACACAAACTGACAGACACTTCTGCTTCAGTCTTTTTCAGTGGCAGTACTGGGTTTGTGCTTTTTTGCTCGCTTATTGAGAAGAGCTGTCGATAATTTAGCATTTTTTGACCTCTACATCCAAATCTCAGTAATGGTCTCTGTGGAGAAGCTGAATAATTTGGAAAGCTGAAGTTGAAGTGTCCGGATTTTTTGTGTGTGCAGTATTTCAGTGTGTCTGCCTCCAAGCATCCTTAGATTTTAGTACTGCTTGAGCAACAGATCTGGGGCTCTCTTTCGCGACAGGTAAAGATAAGAAAATACAGCCTGTTTGGTAGTTAATAATTTAAATAAACCAGAATATCTACTTCAGCATGGCTAACTAACTTGTTCCATACTCCCACAACTCTTTGGGTAAAGCGGAGCCTGCTATTCTCAGGTTTAAATGCACTTGAACGTTATTTCAGTGTTCTAGACTAAAAAGGTTCTGTCTCTTTAGTCTATCAGTGCCAAAGGAGATCAACCTTTCCTGAGCACAAACACTGAAGAACAGAAAGATTCAATCTTTGCTGCTCCTTATAAAGTCATCTGGAAAGTAAGAAATTATTTCAGCCTTTCAACTCATTAGCAAACTGTGGTACAGGGGCAGACAGAGGTCACAGAACTCCTCAGGAGCCTGCACTGTAAGACCTAAGCACCAGGCTGCTTTGTGTTATCATTTATCGGCTCTTTTGTGAGCAAGTTGAAGCTCAAAAAAGCCCAGCTTTTGGCCTTGTGACTTGCACATCTCTTATCTTGGTATCACAGTATGAAAATATGACACACCATTTCAACATGTTCAGCTGGTGAAATAAATGATAGCCTCCATCTGTTTTTTCCTTTATGAGTAATTCTAAAATGCCACTTTTTCATTGTCTGTAAAGCCAAAATGGGATGTTTTGTACCCATTTTAAACAAACCTTCACATCTTTTTAACATCTTTTTTTATACCAACCCCAAAATGGAATATCAAAATTTCATTTTCACAAAGGCTGTTTTTGACCATTTTTTTATTTTGCTTTGTCTTGTCCCCCGACTGCCAGACGCAGAGTATTACATGATGTTTGCTTTGTTTTTAATTGACGAGGCAAACCATGACAACAGCAGAGTGTTTCAAAGTCTCTGAAAAGCTGCTTTCGTATGTTTTGTAAAGGTGTTACATCTAAAGCCAGATAACATTGGCATTTTGTGAAAACGCCTCTCTGGTTATAGATGGAGGAAAGTGACAGGGAGAGGATATTAACAGATAAGCCCAGGAACAATGAATTGTGCACAGCTGCTCTCCCAGGCTCAACTCTGTCAGCATGTCTGCAGAGTCATCAGAATGCGTTGCCGATGAACTCCTGTGTAATTGAGTATACTGTATACTGCATGGCTGAACTGAAAAAGCTCTGAGTGGCATGAGGGTACAGTGGTTAATATTGCTGCCTCGCAGTGCTGGGGCCTTGGGTTCAATTCCAGACCTGGGGATGCTGTCTGTGTAGAGTTTGTATGTTCTCCCTGAGATTCCTCTGGGTGCTCTGGTTTCCTCTTACAGTCCAAAGACATAGTGGTAGGTGAATTGGCTTCTGGGAAAACCAGTTCTAGTGTGAGTGTGTGTGTTTGTCTGTCTTCCCTGAGATGCAGTAGCATCCTGTCCAGGGTGTATCCTGCCCATTGCTTGCCAGAATAGGCTACGGCTCCCACGCAACTCTGAACTGAAAATAGATGGATGAGTGAAAAGGCAGCAAAAATCAAAATAAATAGAGCATCTGTCACAGTGTGAAATGTATAGCTCAGTTTACACTGCCTTTTTGTCTTTGTCAGTCGTAGGTTTCCTTTACTTCACGGTGTTGTGTCAGAATAATTTGAAACTTGTTTTCAACAACTGTTTATTTAAAACTGCACTCTGCAGGGGCTGAAAAAAGAGTTTGTGCTTCTGCATAGTCAACTTGATTGACTTTGCAAACTGTGCAGGAAAGCATTTTCTCCAGAGACTCAGTTTCAAGGTAACATTGAATCTTAACTGCAAGAAGTGGTGAAAAACTGGACTGGAAAGCTGAAAGCTTGTGTTTTTGTCTCCCTCAGATCTTCGGCATGATTTCCGTGACCAAATCTTACAGCAACTGCGAGGTGGACCTCCAGTACTACAAGCAGCTGATGGTTCTGGGGGTCCGGCTGGCTTCCTGGAACCAGATCTTGGATCCCTGGGTGTACATTCTGCTGCGGAGAGCTGTGCTGCGGAAGATCTACACCATCGCCAAGGGGCAGAGCAACCTGAAAGGGAGCACGTTTCGGCGATGGGAGATCAGCTCCCTCCAGGGTTCGGAGAAGATGGCCGTGAACCGGGTGTGAGGACACTAGCCTGGACAGAGGAGCCCATTCAAGGTCTGGAGGACAACCAAGGTGGTGGGGAGGGGACATTTGTTCATTAATCAGTGTTCCCACCACTCCCCCAGAAGGGGAGTGGGCTGGTGTCTTCCGTCCGTGGAGGAGATCGGGGGTCTTGGCGAGTTCCCACGAAACAGCCGTGCCTCCCGATTCAGTGCATTGACAGAGGGCACTCAGCCTGGGGACAGGAAACGCATTGATGGGCAAGAGGACTAAACATCACAGTCTGAATCCCTAAGAATCCCTAAAGAAGGGGAACGGGGGCAGAGAACGTTGGGGGTCCCGGGAAGGAAAAGCTGGTGTACTGTATACAGTTTTAAGGGGCAGGGGTTGCAACATGGGGAAGACCTCCCTACGACTGCCTGCTCAGTCACAGGGGAAGTGCTGATGGGCAGAGAAGAGGTCCTGTTTCCCACGCGGGCTGCTCTGCACTGTGCCCTCAGCAGCAGCAGGGAAGTGAACAGGAAAGCAGTGTGGGTTCGCATTTCAGGCACCATAGAAGAGGGGAAAGCTTGTCATCCACTGATCCCATGGGACTGCTCAGGGAAGTCACAGCAGTAGAATAAAGGTCTTGGTAGGTTCAGATATACAAGGAATACATCAGTGGATCACTGCAAAACAGAGCATATTTAGGTTGAACCAGAGCAATGTTCTTCATTAAATCTCAAGCTGGAGCGTGGAGCTCTACAACCGATTTGCCTTAGTGATGTAGAACGTTAAGGTAGACGCTACGATCGCGATACTAGATGTGGGTTCTGTTCTCTTGGGAACAGGATTGGGACATGTAGAAAACCATCCCCTTTTCCTTACAACTTCCCTGCTCAATGCAGGGTGGGAAAATGACGGATTTTTCACAAATGATTGATTTCCACATGGCTTAGGATTTCCATGCTGATGAATATAGAAAATTCATGTGGAAACATTTGATCTGTTCCTTGTTCTGAACTTTCAACAGAAAAGCATGCTGCATTCTTACACTCAGTCCCTCCTTAGTTGGAGCAGGGGTAGGCAAAGGCCGGGTCCAGAGAGGCACAGGTGCATGGGCCAGGGTAGCCGAGTGGTCTAAAGAACTCTGTTGGAATGGTCTGCCGGAAATGGAGAATCGAATGTCATTCTTTGCATTCTAACAGCTCAGTATCTCTTCCGCCCACTCCTTTCCGAAATAAAAGAAGCGATGCAGGAGACTGGAACCAGCAGCCCAGCCATGCAGTCGAAGCTTAACTGCAAGGGCGTTAAACAGACTCAGCTAAACAAGCCACTTCCTGCTTGGGTGTGCCGGAATATCCAGAAGCTAACATAGTCCTCAAAAACTAAACCTATTCAGATGGGATTTAGCACTTTACATATCAGTGTGAAGGGAGTAAAAGAAGGTTACAGTCAAGAAGCTGTTGGAAGTGTGTAGGTGTGTGTATGGAGAAGAGGTTGGTATTGCTGGGGTTTCTGTATTGGAGATCAGTAGTCGGTTTGAGATGCAGTGTATCTGTAGTCTTTTTCAGGCTTTTCTCTGTCGCTCTGGAATGCAACTGCAAAGCAAATAAGTGCCGTTCCAGCATTTGGATGTTTTTTATAAACATCTTTAATCCTATGTGATTCCACAAGGAATCTCTAAACATTATTAACAGCTGCCCTCTTTGCACTTTCACCCCCCCAAGACCAGACTCAAACTGCTGGGCGTTTTCTTGAAGGACGCTCTGAGGCTAGGACTCAAATGCACAGAGTGCTACAAAACTGTAAAAGGCTGGTTTTGCTGAACTGCAGGTGAATATTGCTACACCAAGCAATGTCATGCTCTTTACCAGTGTTTGTTTGTATATGTGAGATCAAAAGCCTTCGTTGTATAAATACTGTGTATGTGTATTTATTATCTAAGTCGGTTTCCCAATTGTCTGGGAGAAGTGCAAGCTAAGGTTTGTAAAGCTACTGAATGTACTGTAAATAAATAAACTATCACTGACGTAATGTTCTGCTGTTGTTTTTTCCTTAGAGGCATTCCAGAGTATAGCTGATCTTAACTGCTATCGAGAGGTTTTGTTTTTTTTAGCTCTCCAAGGTTCAAGGCTGTTGTTCACTGCCTGCGGTGGACCAGGCATTCTCAAACAGCCCCAGACTCCGACACTGTCTGATTTTGAGAACGCGGGCGTGGCCTGGCA